CGACATTCTGAAGGTCAGGGTCCATTTGCAGAGGGGATTCACTCGACATTCTGAAGGCCTCAGGGTCGATTTTTCACCCGGAGAGGCGGGGACAGCACAGGTGGAAAATCCGATTGAATAAATGCTCAAATTTATTAGCGGCACTGGAAGCAGCGCAACCGAGGGAGAGAGTAGCAATGAAATGACGTTTATAGACCGATGGGAACCAACTTTATAAAATACATATAGCATTAATGAAAATGAAAAAAAATTTCTGATTCTGACAATCTCTAGGCCAGCAGAAAAGGCCTTGCTGGCCCTAACAAGCCCGCGAGTGAGAGCTCCTCTTGCAGGCAAGGCGGCGATGATGTTGGCGGGTTCGTGTAGCCCGCATGCAGAGCCACCGCATGCCCAAGCATCTTTGGTTTGGCTGGATAGAGGGGCGCTAAAGAGATGGACTGATGCGGTACAGGAGGATGTGGAGCTGAGTGGACTTGATGAAGATTGGTACCAGCGGTGTCAAGATCGGCCTCTATGGAGGAGGCTCATGAAGAACGCTATTGGGAAGTTGGAGGCAGTCGCCCTCCAACAATAACGGAGAGTGGAGGAGCGACGCTCACAACGAGCAGAGCACCGGGCAGATAAAATACAAGCCGGCATAGTAGGAGGCACAGATAGTGCATCAGGCATTCATCTCAATCAGTCAACCCAACGGTACCTGCGTCTGTCCCGTGGCCTCCTGCCAGCGGGCCTTCGACACTTCACATGGCTTCAAGGTGCACCGAGGCCGACACAAGCGTCTCCTACTATGCCGTCACATAGTGCCAAACGGCGGTTGTTGTTGTTGTGAGGGTGGTGTGTGACGGATGGTGTGTGGTGGGTGGTGTGCAGGCCTGAAGCTACAGGGCGCCACGTGCTCTGACAACAAGCTGTCTCTGTCGCACACCATCTCCACCGAGCTGCCCCTCACTGCACTGCACTGGGCCAAGCTCACGGATGTGGAGAAACTGACGACCACGGTGAGTGCCACCCCTACACTGCTCACACGCACTCACACACACACGCAGCTCACACACTCGCACACACACACAGACTCACACACACATGCCGCTCACAGACTCGCACACGCTGCTCGCACACACACACTCACACACACACACACTCACGCACACACTCACACACACACGCACTCACACACACACTCACACACTCACACACACTCACACAGTAGTCGTGTGCTTGTACGTACATGCGGGTGGGTGTATGGGGAGTAATGGAGCGGTGGTTGGCGCACTGCTTCGCGAACCCAGTGACCCGAGTCTTAAATGAGTACCTGGTGGGTGCGGTGTGTAGAAACATCACCACTGGAGGGACAAAGGCGGTCGGGCGTGGTTCTGGCCACCCACCCACCCACTCGTGTACTATGCTGGCCTTCATAGGTGCTCGCTAACAGCACTTGCGCCAACAGTCTGTTAAGGCTACACGGGGGATCTTTGTGTTTTGTGTGCAAGCGATGTAGCGGTGTGTGTGAGTATGTGAGTGGCATGTGTGAGTGGTGTGTGTGTGTGAGCGGCATATGTGAGTGTGCGCAAGCGGTGTGCGTGAGCGGCGTGTGTTAATGTGTGCAAGTGGCATGTGTGAGTCTGCGAGTGTAAGTGTGTGCGAGCGGTGAGTGTGAGTGAGCGGCGTGTGGGAGTCTGTGTGTGCGAGTCTGTGTGTGTGGGGTGTTTGAGCGGTGTGTGAGTCTGTGTGCGAGTGTGTGTGTGTGTGCAAGCGGCGTGTGTGTGAGTGTGTGAGTGAGTGCATGTGAGCGGTGTAGCGGTGGCACTCACCGTGGTCGTCAGTTTTTTCTCCACGTCCGTGAGCTTGGCCCAGTGCAGTACAGTGAGGGGCAGCTCGTTTTGCCCCCGGGCCTCCGAAAACCGCCCTGGCGTTCCTCTTTGTTGGTCACTTAGACATCGACGCATCTCCACCAAATTGTCCGACGAAAAGAAACATTTCTCAGCACGGGAATGGAACCGCTAAGACTCGCCGATTGCGTCGCCAGACAGATAGGGGCAGTGCGCGGGATTGATAAGACGCATCCCTCCCTCCAGGTGACGCTGCCCGTGTACCTGAACTTCACACGCGCCGACCTTCATCTTCACGGTGGACCTCGAGATCTCGGGGCAAGAGGACGCGCGCGATTCTACGAGCGCGGAGTCGCCCTGCTGTGCGCCGAGTGACGGGCCCGGAGATCGCGTCGTGCCACACACACACACGCGTGTACACACACACGCGTGTGCACACAAGCGCACACGCGAGTACACACACGTGCCACCAACCGCGCCACGCGAGCACACACGCACACACGTACGCAGGGACAGAGAGGCTCGCACACAAACCTACGGACGCACACACAGAGCAGAGCACCACGCACAGAGCAGATGCACGCACGCACACACAGAGCGGAACGCACGCACACACCAGGTGCATCTGTGTAGAAAGTCACACCGCCTGCAGCGGCATGCACCTGCGATGCTCCGACACGCGCACCACGGGAACACGCATGTAGCCTAACCGGCGTGAGCAGGACGGAAACGTAGGCGCACGAACCCACCGGTACAGACGTATCACGCAGGGGTACCTGCACAGGTGTAACCATGCAAAGGTGTATCTGCACAGGTGTGCCTGCATGCATGGACATTCTCCCTGTCCAGACGCACTTCTCAGGCCAACCTTGTGTCTGCACACAGCCGCAGACAACGACTACAAACTCCCGGCACGGGGGACCCCGAGTGGTTTGACTCCCGACAAGTTATTTATGTATTTATATTTATTTGCACGTATTTTATTTCGTAGCGATTGCTTTACTAGCCTATTTATTAACTCGGCCTCGGCGATGCTGGGATTTTTCTCCTCGTAATGTGAACGCCGAGTCGGTAGATTTTAAACGAAGGCGAAGGGTGTCCAAAATAAAGAGAACCTTCGGAGTAATTTCCATTTCAATTGCGATGAAGGTAACGTGCTAAATGTTTCACGTGACCGGAAGACACGTTTTTTTTTTGCTATATTGTAAACACTTACACTCCATATGCGTTGCTTAGGAGGGTGCCTTTAGCCTGGCTCCATGAGACGCAGGCATTGGCAACTGCATGTTAAGCATCGTAGCAGTTGCCAAGAGGAACTATTGAGACCGCAGGGACCGTGAGAATGACGAGAGGTCGCATGGCTCGCGTGCTGATGCTCGGGTCCCCGCGAGTCAGACAAAGGCACTGCGAGGGTTATTTAAGTCAAGGTTAGGTGTCGACTCGAATCAGAATCTTTATTATGTATCCTGGAGAATCCGATGGGCCATGAAGCTCCCTTCCACAGATTAATCAGCACTGGGGGGGGGGGGGGGGGGGGGGGGGAGGCAGCCCCGAAGCATTGGTGGGGATTTCACCATCATCCACCAGTGGTCCGACATCGGAGACCGATTTTATCTACCCCAGAGATGATGGGGTGGGGGGGGGGAAGCTGAGATGACACGTGACCGGGATTTGAGTTATAACCACAGCGCCGCACGGATTGCTTCGACAGAACCCCTCAGCAGTACAGCGACAACTTCAAAACGCCCAACAGTATCACTGCTTGATGTATCGCTCATGGCAATTCACGCGTTCTGCTCGTAATCACTGCGTCATCCTGTCAACGTGATGTTTGAAAATCCTCTGCTTTGTTCGGTGCGCGTTCCGTGAAAACAAGTTCAATACCCCCACAAGCTCAGGCGAGCTTGCGGTGACACTCCGTTGCCAGCTCTGAGCCAGTGGTGTAAATTCCACGTTCCTATGGCAGGAGCTTCCCATTCCTTAAAATGACCACTGTTTACTTCCCAGTAAGTGGTACACATGTAATCAACCCCAGAGGAATGACGATGAAGATGATGATGGGCCGAGTGAGCCCTGGACTGGGAATTGTGACCTTGAGCTTGAGTCAAGTGCTTTGACCACAGGAGCCACGGGGTGCTGAGTGTAGTGATGGGTAGTGAGTAGTCAGGCGGTCGGTGGGTTGTGCGTTTAGGCAGACTGGGCTTATCGATGTTGTCATTGTTGTTGTTGTTTACAAAGCCGCTGTGTTTAGACTCCCGTGACGATTTAAAGTTACCCACGCCAGGCTTTTGAGAATAGGGTCCTCAAGTGCAGCAGACTTCTGCTGCGGCGCGTGTCAGAACAAGAGCCAGGGTCAGTATCCCCATGGTCGGTAGAGATGTGGAACTGGATTCCACATTCACGTGGCAGGGCCCAGTGTTTCCTTAAGACAACGGCAATCGGTGTGGACTTTCCCAGCACCGAGTGGTACAGCCTCATGAGATGATTACTTTACGGACCAGAGGGTCGATGATGACTTTGTGATGAAGCGTTAACGACTGTGGCTATTTATCGATAGTGGTAAAGAATGACTCCGACGGGAGTGATTTGAAGGGGTCTATTGGCGCAACGCAATACGTTGAGATTTGGCGTCAAAGCACTCCACAAAGTGTAGGGGAAGTGCTTTTGAGCAAATGTGAACAAATGTTTTATGGTGGTTTTATTTCCGTGTTGGGAGTGACTTGAGAGTATAAAGGCGCAAGGAAAGGCATTAATCATTTTGGTCAAGGTGAAATCGAAAGCAATAGCCAGTTATTATGATGGTGGCAGTGGTGTGATGATGATTGCGGGTTTGATGGACGATGATTTGACAATGTCGGTGCCGATTTGAGGATGGCTGTCGTGGTGGTGATGATGACACGGAGTGAAACGCTCAGGAATGGAACGCGCTGTGCTGAGGTTCTCTCATTAAAAGTCTGGCAAAATCTCCGCTTGTGTTTTAACTCGATGCCAACATTGAAGCGCAGTGTTTCGAGCAAAATCCCTGCCCTGTGTGACACGTTTGCTAACTCTTTAGCAATTTTTTTTAAAGTTAATGTGACATTAACTTGCATAAAATGGTTTCATTTAGAAAACGACATTTTAAAGAGATTTTTTAAACGTAAAATTGCCTTTATATTTTGACACAACATGCAATGAAATTGTGATAAATCTAAAGCTCAAAACACGACTCGCTGCACCGTCACCTGAAGCGCCCTATTGTTGGGGCAGTTTGTCCCGTGTGCACTGTGGGGCCCATCTCTGTGTGATCAAACCAACCCCAGCTCCCGCGTGATGGGATTAGAGATGGAAACGTGACAGATTGTTGGGGCGAACGCTGGGGGTGGTCGCCGACACTTTTGTCTCTCCAGCGTAGCAAAAAAACACGTTATGGCCGTCTCACCCTCAGTGGGGCACAGGGGCAGCTCTAATATATCTCTCGCCACTGATGTTAGCCGTGACAGGGAATTGAACCAAGGTCGCAAGGTTCACAGCTCGTGAGCTGACCACTGCACCACCACTCCCCTCATTGTGCATATGCACAAAAGACATAAACGGAATGCTCAGGGAACGACTCATGGCCGCATATCTTTACCCAGACCTGTTCACCATGATGTAGATTGTCAATGATTGTGGACAGGGGATCAGGGTCCCCAACGACATAACGACTCAAAGCCATTGTCCTCTTGGTGTTCTGATTCAGACTTGAGGTTGGGTCCTGTTGCAATGCACACATGCGTGCCCACTTGGTGAATATTAGCAAACGACAGAAATGAGTACATGGTACAATGTGTGGGCGTGTGATTAAAACCACTGGGACGGCAAGTGGCCAGACACTTGTGGCCACAGCAACCTCGTCAGTGCTGTGCCGGCCTTAATCAATGACCCCCAGACACACAGATACACACCCACACAGAGACACGTTCGAGACACACAACCCACACACAGGCTCACGAGTTTGCACTGTAAAATGTTTAATTTCCCACTGCCGAGCGCTATTATATAATTACGTATTAGTCGACGCATCCGAATCCGAGACTCGGCGTAAAAGTCACTTCTTGTTTTGTTTTTTTAATAAAAAAATAAACACATTTTTTTTGCTTTTCCTCTCTCTCTCTCTACGCCTTAACAGAGTTCCAAACGTCTGATCGGACAAAGTCAAACCTAGAACTCGCGTCCGACTCGCCGTAGTCGTCCCAATATTTCACAAATTTACAAATAAATTTAAAAAAATGTAACCGTGCAGAGGCCAAAATGACCACAACACTCTCAAAACGGTGGGCGGGCAAGTCGATGCAACCCACAAGTTAAACACGCAAAACTATAATCTGTAATTACCTCAACAGGGAATCACAACCCCCTCTTACTCCCGGTAAGTGGGCGATCTGAGTATCCCTAATCAGGGACAAGGTTATCTTCACCCCTCACATTTGACTGTTGTCTAAAAACGTTTTAATTGATTCCAAAAGCAATGAAAATGGGGGGGGGGGGGGGGCGTGAGCAGCTTGCATCAGTGAGGGTAACAGCAGCTACCAATGAACACAGATCACAGGACAAAGCCTACACACGCATCTGAGGTCAAAATGTTACTTTATGCCGAAATTAGATTACTTTAAGAATACCAAACAGAGGATTGTGTTACTTGTAAAAATAATTGGTAATTGGAGGCAGATTCGTTTGTCGAAGTCGCCCTCCCAATACTGAAAGACCATGGTACTGTTACAATGTTGTATGTTATAAAATAACGTTCTTTCATCAAGACAAGTCGAAGTCCACCAGTTAATTTTCAAAGTGGGGGCCTGCATTGGGGTGTCCCAATTCTTTTTGCACGTTGCAGAGGAGACTGGGGAGTACCTGGTGAAAATCCACGCATGAAGGGAACGACGCATCGAAAGTTATTACTCTTTGTATGGATTCCTGCAGTCACAAAAGCTTCAAATCAAGACATCGAAAGCTCTGCACCCAAACAGGTCAACTTGCTGTGCTGCCAGCTGCTTGCCCACCCCACACAACATTCTGACAGCACACACAGCGATGCACACACAGCGATGCACACACAGCGATGCACACGCAGCGATGCACACACAGCGATGCACACACAGCGATGCACACGCAGCGATGCACACACAGCGATGCACACACAGCGATGCCCGCACGACGTGCTCGCACCGACCTGTGTACTTGCCCCGTTTTAAAACAACAAAATAAAGTGAGGTTTCATTACTCCACAGCGCCTCATCCAACCTGCAATCCACGACAGGAAATATATTTGCGAGTACACACACACGGGGGGGGGGGTTAAATTAGATCTGGCCCATCAGCCCATAATGCGCTTTCCTCCAAATCAACATTTCCCAGCAGCA